ATCTTTTTCACGCTTCATCTTTTAAGCGCATTTATAGTTTGCTGAAATTATATCGTTCGCTTTCTGAAAAATAAGGAACTTCGGAAATTGAGAATCGTCATTTTAACCTACCTACGTTTGAAAATTTTAATTCATGGTTTTTTGTGTTTCGAACTCATCGGAGGTCAACCTTTTTTGGATTTTTTTAGAGGTTAGCATAATATTCTGAATTTCACGAAAAATTATTTTTATGGTTAGAAAAAAATCGGGAAAATTACGCGCATACACGAAGTTTTTTTAAAGCACGAACCACGTTTTTCATCCTCTCATAATAATTAAACGCAAGATCGTCATTTTAACCTACCTACGTTTGAATTAACCCATAGATTAAAGTAGAAAAATATAGATAAATAATAGATAAATATCATTTGCGTACAATACTGTAGGTGCGTTTATTTCAAAATGTTGTTCTCGAAATTTCACAACTTATGCCAGAACTGTACGAATACCGATTCGTTCGGGATCAGTCAAATATTCCATATAATTTCCACTGAATTGCCTTTTGACTGTTCCATCAAAATTCCGGATGTTCATTAGTGCCTGGACTCTTTTCCTGAAAACCGGGCAGAAATAAATAATTAATTTGAAATTGAACCATTTCAGAGAAACATGTTTTCTTAAAGAATTAAACCGGAAGCATTGTTTTCTGCAGTATTCCGGTATCATATCGCTGTTCTGTGTGCCATCATTTATTGGTGGAATATCTGTACATACAGTACAACGGAATTCAAGGGACCAGCAAAAAAGTTCTTGACGGCAAAATTTCGTTGTAGACACTCCTTAAAATATCGGAGATATTTGCATGGGAGCAAAAAGTGAATTCGTTAAACAGATGAAATTTTTGTAGGCAATGTCATTTTAAAGAGAGACCACCTGTATTATTTATGCACCATTTTTTTAAAGAATGAAAATCTCAATCCCTGAGAGAAACCGTGTTCAACTATTCGTGAATAATTAATGACATCTATAGACAGAATCGGCTTCAGGACTCCGATCAGCAGGATTCCCCTTCAAAACCCGGCCATCGGGGAGCAAAAAAAAAAAAAAAAAAAAAAATCCCGGAATTCCGCTGTTGGCAACGCTGAATGATCATTGCTTCCAAGAAAAAGTCGGGCAAAAGTCTGGGATTTCAGCTGGCGGAACAGCTGAGGGTTGAAGCAATAAAACCTCCCAGGCTGCAGACTTCGGGGTTGAATGGAGGCCCAGGAGCAAAACTCGACTCCCTTCCATATTTTCGAAGAAGAAAAAAAAAGAGGGTGGGAGATGGGAAAAGAATCAGGCTGCCGTGATTTTATTTTCAAGAACTAATAAATGCGAGACTTTGAGCCATTTTTGTTTCTCTTCTTCGCATGACCGGTTAATGCGCATTCCCGGGGGTGCTCTCGGCACGTGAGCCACTTCCTTTCTTCTTTGGCTCGTCGCTTTTTTCCCCACTCACTTCTTATTCTACACGACCACCATAAGAATATACAATTCCTGATAGAACTAGTCTTCATGTTTCAAACATCTCCAAGTTGAATTTCAAGGGACCACAAAAAAAATGACTGGGAGGTTTCAGGTTATAGAGGTTTGAATCATGAAACCCAAAATTTTTTTGCAGGAAACATAGAATATTTGCACAAAATTGTATACTGTATAGTGATATTGAGTGCATTAAATTGCTTTTTGAATGAGTTGAGGGGGTGCTGAACTTGGAGGTAGGGCTTCAAGTTGCCTAATATATTTCATCAGTTCCTTTGAAAATGCATAAAATTCCATTTTTATTGATTCACTCCTTCCTGCTGTCAAGAAAGTAGCAGCCAAAAGGCCTAAAAATGTTTTTTGACTTACAGCGGCTGGAGACAAGGGAAAGCCCTCAAGGTGTTCAATGCATTATTTCTGAGGAAATTTAGACTGGGATTTGCAAAAAATTCAATTTTGGGAGGTTTGAGTTATTGAGGTTCAACCATATTTTACTCAGCCTGTGGTCTGTGGAGGCCTCAGCAGGGCTCTGCGTGTTTCCAGCTGTTTTTATGTAGTCATAATTGAAATTTCGAAGAATCAATTAAGATAAACTGTTGGCCTTATATGATTTCTCATCAAAGATTCTCTCTAATTTGTTTATTCAACTAAACCTCATACAGAAACAAGCTGAAGACCTTGTATATATTAGGCAACTTGAAGCCCTACCTCCAAGTTCAGCACCCCCTCAACTCATTCAAAAAGCAATTTAATGCACTCAATATCACTATACAGTATACAATTTTGTGCAAATATTCTATGTTTCCTGCTCTGAAGTGATTAAATGTCTTTGAGTGGATTTGGGTTAGGGGGAAGGGGGCTTGGTTGTGGAAATCTTGATTGAACCTTGTGAATGCTGAAAAATGGCCAAATAAAGTGTTCTGTTCATTCATTCATAATTGTTCCAAGAGGATAACTGCTTTGTTGCCCAGATTCTACTACCAGACCATTTTTAAATTTGGCATTTCCTTTAAGGAGCCATCAGCAGAAACCGGTCAACGTGACAAGTTTTTCAAAACCTCATGAAGACGAAATTTGACTTTGTTTGTACAATAGCATTCAACTGAGCTTTTCTCTGATCATTCCAAAATGTCCATAATAGTTAAATTGCAGCACTTACAGTTTGCAAACACATTACAATTAGCGCAAGGTATGATTCCTTATTATTTATAATTGTAAAAGAAAGCAAAATCTTTCAAACTTTGAAAATATTCTTTGCTTGGAATATGTTTTTTTTAATTATGCTGGTCCAGAGCGTTTAAAGGAATTTTACACCAGTAAAAAGTCTGGTTATGGCAGTAGAACACACTTTTGTAGCATTGAAATCAAGAATACTGGTGGTACCTTGCAATTTGACCTCCTGCAATTTGACTGTCCTGCAATTTGACAGTCATATTTGCAGGGAGGTTCACTTGCAATTTAACCTCTACCCAGGAATTTGACCTGCATTAGTCAATTTTTTTGCACTTTTCTGATTGTATTTCTCAATTTTACAAAATGTCTTGCAATTTGACTGCTTCCCAGTTTGACCTGAGTCCAGCAATGGATTAGGATGAAATTGCGAGGTACCACCTGTATTGGCAGAGACAATATGTCTGAGCACAGAATTCTCCTTCTAACTTTCTGTAAATATTTCCAAAATGATTTGTGCACACTCAAGGTTGGTTATGACTTATGAGAACCCATTTTGTTTAGCAGTGTAAACGATAATGACTTCAGAGATGATAATAGGTTTTTGCATAGAATCCCCCCCCCCCCCCAACATTTGGAAATATTTCTGGAATCATTTTTACGCATGTAAGTCTGCTTATGACGTTACAGAACACATTTGTATAACGTTGCAAGTAAGAATATTGGCAGAGAAATTATGTTTGGGCATATAATTTTCCCCCACCCTCTGCAAAACTTTTCAAAATGATTTTTAAACACGGTTATAAGTCTGAACACACGTTTACAGATTTGTAAATAAGAATATTAGAAGAGACAATATGTTTACGCATAGAAAAATTTCACCACCCGATGCATGGAAATATTTCCAGAATGGTTTTTACACTCGTAAATCTGGTTATATGGCGATAGAACACATTTTTACAGCTTTTGTAAATAAGACTATTGGCTGAGAAATTATATTCATTGTGCGCAGAATTTTTTACTTCACCCTCTGCAAATCTTTCCGGAGGGATTTCACCCAAGTCTGTTCATAGCGACAGAATAACACACTTGTACAGCCTTTTTAAATAATAATATTGGTAAATACATTATCTTTGTGCATAGAATTCCCCCCTGGCCAATCCTCTCGAAATCTTTCCAGAACGATTTATTTTTTAAACGAATGCACGTCACGGAAAGGCGCAATATATCCGAACTCGTGCAAGTACTCATTCCAGCACGGCCAGGGCTTCGGCTCATGGAAACAGCTTTCACGGCAAGTACCGCAGAAGGTACGAATGAAATGCCTCCGCCGCCTCCACCGCCACCGCCGCCGCCGCCGCCGCCGCTGAGGACGCGTGTAATGGCCGGAATGCGTGCGAAATTGCGGCGGATGTGCGAGCTCAACTCTTCTTTTCCCTCTCTCTCTCTCTCTCTCTCGCGTCCGACCTTTTTATTCGTCCACATGCGCGGCCTTGATTTTTCCGCAGATTTCTCTCCGAACATTCCCTTCTGCCTCTTATTTCACCTTTTATTCATCATCATCTTCTTCTTCTTTCTCTTCTGCTTGTTCTTCTGCTGCGGGTCGGCATATAATCACGCCACTGCTTTTTACGAGTCACGGAAGCCAAATAAGGAAATAAAAAGAGAGATTGAGAGAGAGTTCCTGTAGCGAATATTTCTGGATAGAAATATTCGCATCGATTCGGCGGTGTGAGGCCACGGGAGAAGTAAATGATGATCACGCCGCCGAATTCTTTCGCGGGATGATTTCGCCGGATATACCAAACGGCATTTTCATTTCCACGAACTGTATACTGTATACAGTACCGAAGTGAAGAAAAAAGAAACCGAGAAAAAGAAAAGCTTGGGATTTAACCAGGTGAATTGGCATACAGTATTTTTTGGGCCCTCTCGATCCCTCACTCAATTTCTGCCGCGATGAGCAGAAAACTCTCGGATTAAATTTTTGTTTTCTAAAAAAGACATTTACGTGCGTTGGAGCTATTAAAAACTGACAATTTAGTTTTTGTTCCGGGATATAAATATTAAAAACAATTTATTTTTATTTTTTTAAAGCCCTTATATACAGTATTCTTCAAAATATCAACACTGCTGGTTTTTTTTTTCGAACATCATTCCCCGGGTCCGAATGCACTTTCGTTCCCACGACATTCTCAAAAGAAAATAATTTAAAAAGTAAGCTCATAAGAAGTGTCGGTCATATATTAAAAATTATTTGTTTACTTCTAACTCGGACAGAAATCTGTCTCATATTCTACAGCGAGAACGGATTAGAAAACCGTGGAGTGAAGAACGATTTGCGAAGTGATTTCAAGCGTGTTGCAACTATTTTTTGTGCTCACCATTTTCGAGAAAAAAAAACCCCTAAATATAGGTAAGTTTCATTTCAAGACTCGTATATATAAATTAGCTTCGCATTCGATTTAAAAAACAAATTTACCTATATTTATGGCAATTTTTCTCATCGTGGGCCGCGAGACTCCCAAGCATAATAGAAGAGTCATATATATTTAAAATATGGTTTCCCAAATTTATTCCGCAGGTTGAAACTGTCAACAAACACCATAATCAAGAAGCATCTCAGTGTTTTCCTGCTCAAACAGTGAAGAACATGAGGAAAATTAGTGATTGGAAGAATAAGTGTTGATCTTGGCCGAGGATTTCAATAAAGGGCCACTTTCGATGCTGGATTCCAAGGATGTGTTACAGGATGAATCCCTGTCCGCGGGACTGCATCCCTTGAAGAAAATGAGAAACTCCATCAAAACCATGAGTCCCTGTAAAAAAAGTAAAGAGAGAATGAGCTTCATCATAGAAAACATTACACACTTTCCAAGAAATTTAGATAAAATGCCACAAAATTCTTACCGAAAGAGCTATTATCAGGGCAACAGTAGTTGTTGCTTTTGAAAATCCGTACAGGTCCAAGAACGCTCCTCCAAGAAATGGCCCAATGGTTTCTCTGTAAATCACCAGAATTAAACGATTTATTTTTTTGTGAAAAACTTCGACGTGATGCAGGAATTTCTGAAAATTATAGAATCAAAATGATCTCCGAATTTACTCAAAAAAATGCATGAAATGACTTTTCAAAATCCTTTGCAGACAATGTTCTGGAAAAAATCATGGTACTGTACATTATTTCGATGCCATTTTAATTTAAATTCCGTAATTCTTTTGGCCAGCATACTCTTCAATCAACTAAACCATCGCTTCCACTTTCAAATCATAGGTATATACGATTTAAATCCAGATTTATTTTACGTTTTCAAGGAGGCAAAAGCTTGCTTCGATTGACGAACATTTTTGAAACTTCAGCGTGAGAGGCATGTCGAAAAATTTCAGACATGAATTAAATTGATCACGGTATTCACTAGAAGAGTACTGCCAACTAATAGACGCATTTTTAGCAAGAGGTCCGGTAGAAAAAAAATCAGGGCACAGTAAATTACTTTTATTATTTATTTGAATGCAGCTCAAATTTGAAGGAAAATCACGCGATTCTCAGACTAACTTAAGCTCTAAAATGACAATATAGACGCAAATTCGATGAAATAAATCCCAATTACCACTTTCAGATTGAAAGCAAACTCTTACGAAGCAGGAATCTAATTTCTCTTGAAGTTTGTCGGAATGTAAAACTGGCAACTAAATTACGATGAATAAATGGAATTTCAGAAATGTGCATTGAAGGAATCATTTGCTTTTCTGTTCTATGAAGTCGCAAAAAAAAAGGTTATTCTTGGAAGAAAAATATATAAAGTCATACATACAGTATCGTAATCGAGTTCCTCTATAGATTCAAAAGTAAAAACGAAAGTTTGAAATTACCCCAGGGAGAAACTCGACTGCCAAATGCCAGAGATGGTGCTGAAAGTGTCAATTGTGTCAGGATAGCCGGTGTCCCTGGAACAAAGCACAATGTATTTTTTGCAAGAATTATTTTTTTGGCAAAAGTAATAATATTCTGCCAAGAATGCTGACTTACAAAGCAGCATCAAGCAATATTGAAAATGTGGGCACCAAGCAAATGGCAATCGCAACTCCGTGCAACAGCAGCGCTCCACACAGCAGACCTATCGAACTTCAAATAGAAATAAAAAATAAAACTCCAGTAGATCTTTTTTTTAATCATAGACTTTTCTGAGCCTCAAAATTAGATGAAAACCTATTCCTGCACAAGAAACTCACCGCAGTTCTTGGAGAAAAAATATTAATAATTCAAGAATTAAAACAGTTGAAAGTTTCAAATTAGGAATGAAAATAAGGATGATTAAATCAATTCAATTTAAAAAGCTTTTTAATTGACCCCAAGGATAATGTACACAAAAAGCTGGGAAAATTTTAAGGAAAAGTTTGTACTCAAGTATGACACGCACTTCAATTTTTGTTCTTATTTTTTGAGATAAAAGTGCTTGAGGCACTGAAATACAGCATTTATTGGGTGAAAATGGCCTCAATATAATTTGATGTTAAATGTTTGATTGATAGATAATAAAACCCATTAATCAGTCCAGGACAGGATCAGGAATTCCTCATAGGAATTCCCAGTTTAAAAAGGGGTAAAGTGTATTTCACACCAATATAAATGAATAAACAACTCAATGAGCTTGACTTGCAGGAATAACTTGGATAACTTGAATAACACAGCTGAACTGAAATGATCTGAATGATGATAGTTTAAAAAGGGGTAAAGTGTATTTCACACCAATATAAATGAATAAACAACTCAATGAGCTTGACTTGCAGGAATAACTTGGATAACTTGAATAACACAGCTGAACTGAAATGATCTGAATGATGATAATGAAAATGGGGCAGCTTATATACTACCAATAATAATTAACCTTCACAAGGTTTTACTTTTACAGTCAGAGCAAGAAAGATAACATTGAGGATGCTGTGGTGCCAGAATGTTCCTGGCACTGCAATTTTGAGGAGGGGAGAATACTTTTTACTTCTAGGAATTTGTACATTAAGTACATTACTGTACACAGCAAGCATGCCCAACAGTATTCAAAGAAGGTACAATAACATTTAATCTAGAATTCTTTTACTTTCAAGCAAGTCATAAACAAAAAAGACCGAGAAACGTCATTCCAAAGAATTTCAGAGTCAAACAGAAATACGGCAAATATAACGCCTGACTTTTTTTCAATTACAGAATTTTCTGGCATCTTACTTGGATTCGAAGAAAGGAAAGAATGGACTGGGTCCCATCAGCATGAAGGCAAGGGAGGTGAACAAAATCCCGACAGCAACCTGCAACTTCCTCCACTCTGGAAACTTGTCAGAAAACCATCCAGACACTGGACCAGTGAGTGTGAATGATCCAGTGGTTACCAGAAACATGAGGCTAACTTCCCCCGGGCCCATGCCAAACTATACCAAGCATGAAAATACAGTGTTCTCACAGCATGAAGAAAATGAGCAGGAAATTAATTAATCATTTCTTCTTTTTTCTGTTTAAATCGAAAAAGAAAAGAGCAAAGCACACTTGGGGTCCCAGGTAGGGTTCCATGACCGGGTCAAGAAAGGTGTCAGCAATGGAAATGGCAACAATGCAGATGACTGCACTCAGGCCAATCTTGAGCCACTGCACGAATCTGTATCGGAAGCAAGCCGAGAAGCAGGTCTTGGGTTTGTTATAGGATCGCTCAAAACTTCTTTTCTTGTCAGCAATCATTTCTGCTTCCATCAAACCTGCAACCAGAACCCAAAGTATCCTCAGATGCTTTAAAACTTTTTTTTTCAGTGATTTAAATATCAGTGATCAGCATAAAGTTGCCATGTTCTGGAAAATGTATTCAAGTAAATTGGTAATGACATATACAGCTTTAGTACAGTATTCGGAATTTTTTCCATTTTAACAGTTGCTCGACTTGTTTGAGACGTGCATCAATTCTGATAGTTGTTTTCAATTTCTGGAAATAATGGTCAAGTGCTTGCATCTTGAGACATTGTACATATGTTGGGGAACTTTTCATACAAATAAACAGCATGAAGTTGTCATGTTCTGGAAAACGAATTCAAATAAACTTTTAATGAGATATACAGTAGTACAATGCAATTTTTTGAATTTTTCCATCATAACAGCAACTTTGATTTGTTTGAGACATATAGTATATCAATTTTGGAAGTTGTTTGTGTAATTTCTGGAAATAATGGTCAAGTGCTAGCATATTAACTGTAACATATGTCATATACAACCTTTGTAAAAAAAAGCAAGGACAGTGCACCTGTGAAACTTATGTTCAATTCGACTTTATTCTCGAGTATTCATTTTAAAAATCCTACAAACCCGTTAAACAGGTAACCAGTAGCCAAATTCGTCCAAAAATGTTTTTTCTTCTTTTTGATGTGCCCATAAGTCAGAATGTCCACATGTTCCCCAAAATGCAGACAATTTGGGCACCCTGAGCCCAAAAATTCTGCCCCAAAAACTGGGCAATGTCTCAAAATATAAACACTTTGCCACAATTTCCAGAATTTCTTTCCAATGATGTAACTCTGATGCAAGTTGAGCTACTGTACTGCTATGGACAACAATATGTTTTATTAGAACTTCACTTTTTTCTTTTCCAAAACAAAGAAATTTTGTGCTGCTCTTTTCACGGGGTTTCTCCATCAATTATATTCTGTAAAATATGTGTTTTTTTGCCCTCTGGACTCTTTTTCATACCAAAAGGGCGGATTCTGTTTGGGATGCAGAAAATAATTGTGCAGAGAGCCAAAGTCGAGTAAACCTCTCCAGCAGTTGAATTTATCAGTAATTTTTTAAAATTGTTTGCCAAACATGACAAGTGATTAAAATGTCTCTATTGAAGTCTTAGTAAACATGTTGTCCAACATGTGGACATTCCCACACATCTGGACGCAGTCTGAGAATTATACTGATTTCC